TTGAACTCGAGTCTGATAATATACCAACTGAAAAAGCCTCAACCTACAGAAGCACCTCAATTGCTCAACCGAAGCTTCTGGCTCGGATGCTTCAGCTCCCCCACCCCCTACTAAAATTTTGTAAGGCCAGTGGCCTCTGTAACTTGAACTTTTTAGTTTCATATGAATGAAAAATTTGCTTCTTCCTTTGTGTTGTAATTTATATTATATCGCAATGAACTGTTCAAACTTAATAATCAGCCCAGCCAAACTTAACCAACTGATCTCTTAATGATAAGACCGAATAACCAATCTAACAGGTTAAGACTGAATAATCCATCCAATAAGATAAAACTAAATATTCAAACTTCTAAAAGTGTCGTTATCCTGAAGTTACCTTAATCAATCGAATTCTTAAAGTTTATCGAATGTCTTTATTTTGATGTTACTAGTGCTTCTTCACTTAGCGGATGGTTCATCCAAGTAAAGGCTTCTCCTTTAACGTTCAGCCTCGTCAAAGTGAGGCTTGTGATGTATGCCTCGAGTTCGAACGAGGTGGCCTTCTTTTAAAGCTCCATCCTCTCCTCCGAGGCGGTCACGCTTCTTCACTTAGTGGATGGTTCATCCAAGTAAAGGCTTTTCCCTTGACGTTCAGCCTCGTCAAATGGAGGCTTATGATGTACGCCTCGAGTTCGAACGAGATGGCCTTCATTTGAGGCTCCATCTCTCCCCGAGGCGGTCACGCTTCTCTACTTGGTAAATGGTTCATCCAAGTAAAGGCTTCTCCCTTGACGTTCAGCCTCGTTAAAGGGAGGCTTGTGATGTACGCCTCGAGTTCAGACGAGGTGGCCTTCTTTTAACGCTTCTTCACTTGGTGGATGATTTATCCAAGTAAAGGCTTCTCCTTTGACGTTCAGCATCGTCAAAGGGAGGCTTGTGTTGTACGCCTCCAGTTCGGACGAGGGGGTCTTCTTTTAAGGCTCCATCCTCTCCTCTGAGGCGGTCACACTTCTTCACTTGGTAGATGGTTCATCCAAGTAAAGGCTTCTCCCTTGACGTTCAACATCGTCAAAGGGAGGCTTGTGTTGTATGCCTCCTGTTCCGATGAGGTGGCCTTCTTTTAAGGCTCCATCCTCTCCTCCGAGGCGGTCATGTTTCCTTCCTTGTTTGCGAAGGCTGGAAAATAACTTTTTTATTTATTTATAAAGGCTGGGAAATAACTTCCAGCTATTTATTACATTCATCGATAAAACATTCTTAGATGCTCGATATTCCACAGATGAGGTTGAATTTTGCCATCCATGTCTTTGATCCAATAGGTACCAGACCGAATTTCTCTTTTTATACGGTATGGCCCCTCCCAATTGGGTCCCAAAGTGCCTACTCCTGGTTCCTTCGAAGACAGGAAAATCCCGCGGAGCACCGGTCATTTATCCGAAATGACCTCTTTTTCATCTTTGAGTTATAATATCGGGTCATCTCCCTTTGGTAGGCTGCTAGCCTATATTGGGAAACATTCCTCCTTTTCTCAAGGAAATCAAGCTCGCATTTTCTAAGCTCCTCATTCGATATTTCATTGAAGCTTATTCTTCGAAGAGAAGGCAATCCTACCTCAATTGGGCTCATGGCCTCGGTGCCATACGTCAAGGAGAAAGGAGTTTCACCAGTGGGAATTCTGCTTGTAGTTCGTATTGCCCATAGCACCTGTGGCAATTCTTCCACCTAGGCCCCTTGGTTGTGTTGAGCTTCTTCTTCAAGGTGTGCTTTATGGTTTTGTTGACAACCTCGACTTGACCATTAGCCTGGGGATGATTGGGAGTGGAGAAATGCTTCCTAATCCTAAGCTCTTCACATAGATCTCTCACTTTTTTGTTATCAAACTGCTTCCGATTATCAGAGACAATTGAATGAGGGATGCCAAACCAACATATTATAATCTTCCATAAGAATTTAGAGGTGTTGGCCTTAGTAATCTTTGCCAGGGGTTCAGCCTCTACCCATTTCGTGAAATAATCAATCGCAACAATGGCAAAGTTAGCACTTCCTTTGCCTTAGGCAAGGGGCCAATGAGGTCCACGCCCCACTTGCTGAAGGGTCAAGGGCTAGATACTGTAGTAAGTTCCTGTGAGGGTCGCCTTTATACGTGGGAGAAACATTGCCACTTATCACATTTGTGAACAAATTGAAGGGCATCCTTTTTCAAAGTAGGCCAATAGTATCCCTGCCTCAGTGCTTTATTTGCCAAAGCCAACCCTCTAGAGTAGTTTCCACAAACGCCCTCATGA